TTCAAACATCTCAAACCGTTCTTGATGTTCATAACAGATCCGGGCTTTCGCTGTTTTCTTGGGTACAAACTATTCTTCTTCATGTCTCCTTGATTGACACTTTTAGCCTTGTCAACAAATCCAATGGCAAGCCAAGCATCCGCGACAAGCTGAAACGTTTTCTCCCTTGGGCAAACTCCCATCTCCTCCATACTCTGAATCAGCTCTTGAGCTTTCCATGGCTGTTTTGCTTCTCCATACCCCCAAATAAGTGTCTCAAAAGTGTTCAAATTGGGCTGCACGCCCATCGCGAGCATCCTTTCGTACACCAGCAAAGCGCGCTCCATTTTTCCTGCGCTGCACCACCCACTGATTACTGTGGTGAATGTCACCACATTCGGGCGCGCTTCGTGGGCCCCCATTAGTTCCAAGAGTGATTCAGCTTTCTCTGGCTTCCCTGCGCGAATATACCCTTTTGCAAGAATGCTGAATATCTGAACATCGGGTTGGATTCTGGACTTGATCATGTTTTCGAATATTTCTTCGCATTTCTCCATCAGTCCAGCTGAACTCCACGCATTCATGATTGTACTGAACGTGATCACGTCTGGTTTCACTCCAAATTCTTCCATTAATGTTATTGCCTGCACATTTTTAAGAATTACCAATCAGAGGCACAGTCTTCTACATTTTCTTGAAAAAATAGAGAAGAAATAGATATGCAGGTAATATATAATGAGTTGCAGGGCCAAAAGGCCAATGAATTCCTATAGTATACCTCATCAACTCCAACAGTGTCAGTAATGTCTACATACCCTTTGATAAGAGAGTTGAGTACATACAGATTAGGACGCACGCCAAAACCCTTCATCTTGTATAAGAATCTCAGTGCATCTACCATATTGCCTTCTTTGCAGTACCCATCCACAATGATGCCACACGTTCTGGCGTTGGGGCCCACTTTGTCACTTTGCATTCGTAAAATCATTGCCTCTGCTCTTCCAGTCTCTTTGTTCCGTGCATAAGCCCTAGCTATGGTGTTATACGTGACAACATCTGGTTTCAAACCTGCATCGACCATCTTATAAACTACTTCCCATGCCTTGTCAACATTGTTCTTGTTACACCATGATTGTATGAGAATATTATAAGTCCTCTCATTTGCTCTTAACTTCTCTTCTGCTGTCATTATCTCTAGAAGCTTCAAGGATTCTTCAGGCTTACCGATTATCCCAAACCCTTTGATCAGCGTATTGAAAGTAGCCACGGTGGGCTTGCATCCCTTCTCCCTCATCTTCCAGAAGATTCCAAGGGCATCTTTGACATTTCCAGACTCAGAAAAAGCATTGATCATGGCATTGAAGAAAACTGAGTCGGGTCTCAACCCGTTCTGCTCCACCTTCTTGAGAAGCAAAGGAATAGACTTGAAACGTTTTTGGAGAGTCAATGCGGCTAACATAGTAGTATATGTTACAAGAGTCAGCTTATGGCCTTCTTCTGTTAGACCTTTGACTATCAAATCGACATCTTCAGGTTTCCCACTCTCTATCAAATTCTTCATCACCTTTGTTTTCGAACGTACTGTCTGACAAATTTTGTTTTCCCGGCAAGCAGCACAACGTACATTTACTCCTTTGTTATTAGACTCTTCTGCCTCCTTTCCAAATTCTCCCATACCGTTAGATTCTTTCTATGGATTACCTCAAAATTCCATATGGGTCTATCATGTCTTCCAACAAGAATATGTGCAAGTTTCCTACAAATATGGCACACCAGGGACTTTTGTTAAAATTCCAGATCAGTGTCTCTTACCAAACTGCCCCTAACTTGCTTGAGTCCTAATAAATCGCTCTATTAAGGGCTCATTTGGCAACAACTTCAACATTTTGAAAAATCTATCTAACGGCATCATTTAGCATTAAAAAAATATGTTGTTCCTATTAGTATGCCACCAGCTTTAGCGTTTCCCTACAAATGTGGCAACAACTTCAGCGTTTTCAAAGTTAATATACACCATTAAAAAATAACCGAAAAGGCTTATGCTAATAGAAAAGCTTGTTCCCAAACGAGACATAAGAAAGACAACTATAATAATACTTCCAATAGATGCACTTCAGAAACAAACCTTGGCAACAAATATTCAAAATGAGTGTACACCAATTTCTTCGATTCTCCTGTTTATTCCCCAAACCAAACACTTCTCAATTACAGGCAGTCACTGAGATGCTACTTAGTAGTAAAAGTTACTAATTGGCAAACACAGCTATGAACTTCTGAACAAGAATTTGCTCATCCTGTAAGCAGAATTACATAAATGGGCCATTTTCATAGTTCAAACAATAAAAAAAAAGATGAACAACAATGGGTATTTAGAAAGACTTGAAATTATAAGCCCCAATTCCAAGAAAGAAGCCAGGGTTTGAAGTGGTAAGAAGGGGTACCAGTAAAATGGTAAAGATGAGCAGCAGAGGTCAGCTCAGAAACTGTGAGAAATCATACAAAGGGAAACTCCAGATTTCTTCTTTCTTCAATCCTACTGCAAGACCCTTACACAATCTACAAGGGATTTTTTTTTGTGGCACCAAATTTGTCCACGTCATTTCATGTATTTTCCTCTCTTTTTCTTTACTTTTGTTTTTCATTGTCTCTGCGGACTGGACTGGATTTCGGGTTGGGCTGCGGTTGAGTTCGTGGCTGAGGGCAAAGTCGAGACTAGAGAGGAAAGGGAGTATTATACTTTTCGCACAGACAACGAGTGTCTATGTATCTCTATGAAAATGTGTTATATATTTGGAATACACCATTTTGGGGTACCTTTAGATTTTTTCGAGAGGAAAATCTCGTGTGAATAATCCATTAAAAACATGATTTTAGGTTTTTTAAACACGATTTTGTGTTTACCTTAATTTTATGTTAATAACGATTTACTTTCAAAATACCTCAAATTTAACAAATTACATTAGTCTAAAAAATTACACATTATTACACTATTATCATTTATCTATAAACTTATATAAGTATGCGGTATTTTAAATGTTGATTAGACAATTGCTAAATACTTTCTCCGTTTCAGAAAACTCTTCATGTTTTGACTTTTTTTGTCAAACAGTAACATTCTTTGAACATAAATTGAACATAATCTAAATAAATAATTGTTATTTTTATTGATAAATTGAAACACTGTAAAGATAAATTGTGAGTGTTTCAGTATAATAATGATAGTCTGAACTCCTATTTTGATCTTAAAAGACTTAAAACTTTTATTTTGGTGTTTTCATGCTTTTTTTCTTTTATCTAAAACCTTTCATAAAAAATTAAGTCTGAACTGGTTGGACAATAATTTGAAAAAAAACAAAATGGTAAGAATTGATTACAGAAATGACTTTTCACAAGAAGCTACTATATATCTTATCAACACGAACAAACGTTTTCAGATTAAAATTATATATTTCAGAGTAAACCAAAATATTTTAATCAGATGAATAAAACATAAGTAATCTAGCATTAACTTTGTTATATTATTAGATACAAAAAGTTAAAAAGTACAGTAAGTAACATAATAAAATGTTACATTTCTTATAAGTGTTATTTTCAATTAACATTAATAAAAGCTATCGCTCCTTTGACTCACTATTTTCAAGACATGCAAATTAAGAAAAGTAATATTATGTAGTTTATTTTGATATCAAAAAACAAAAAAAAATTAGAAGGAATATGAGACCAATATTATTAGGTACGAGACAAAAATAATGAAATATAAAAAAACAAGAGATAAAAACAGTAAAAGATACTCTGTATTGAATAAAAAATTTAAACTTTTAAATGGTTCAAATAATTCAAATTGTGAAAAAAAGTTAAATTTGTATTTTAAAAAAATGTTAAAAAAGGGAGTGTGCATATTGCATAACCATAATTGGATAGCAATTAGACAAGTAAAAAGAAAGGTGAGACCCATATTATATTGATGTTTTTCAATTATGGTGGAATGATAAGTCCTCTCCCATACCATACATGTGAGTGAGTTGTTTCAATGATTTTACTAACATGTGCATGAAGAAAAGAAAGAGATCATGCATGTTTCTTGACTAGTGTATGTGTGTATAGACATAGTTGTATTATATATTAAGCCCCACCAACCAACCAATTTCAAACCTTAATTGTGATTTGTGAATCAAAATTCAAGGAAAGGGGATGACAAATCCAATGAGGAATGACAATAGGTAGTATTGATGTTGAGTTTTATTATACCTAAATTCAATATATGAGTATATTTTTTAATATGCTATTTTGATTTTTGTTTTCAAATTTTAAAAATACATAATGCCCCGTTTGATATACAGAATTCAAACTTTGGAATTGGAATTGAGGACTTAAATTCCAATTCTGGTGCTTGATAGCACAAAAATTATGTGAATTTGGAATTGATAGTGCAAAAAAAATGAATTGGAATTGGTGAATTCAATTCTATGGAATTGAATCCCATAGAATTTCAATTCCAATTCAATTCCTATTCAATCAATAACTAAAAGTTTTAGTTATTGATCACTACTAATCATAAAATGCATACAAGAAATTTGCTGTCCAAATTTATACTCATCTATACCCATATCATGCACATTTGTATGATTTTTACACACACTTCTATTATAAAATACAAATAAATACACGCATACGTGTTGACAAACACTATGTCAAATTCAAACTGATGTGAACGATTATGAGCAATACCCAAATCCAACTCAATACAATTCGAGTTTTAATTTATTGGATCAAATTCAGATATTTTAAGATCGAGCGAATTGATTAGGGTCGTATTCGAATTTGATTCATCCATAAGTCCAATGCTAGGATAACTATAGGGTGCAAAGTCAAGATTATCCAAAGAATAAATAGAGACAACTAACTTGCCTTTCTCCAACACATGTACCTACCTGTCGTTCATTCAAACCCAACTGTCAAAATACTACTTATATTATTAACACTGAAGAAAAAAATGGCCCAATAAGTCTTCACAAACATACCAACCAATTAAATATTTATGAACAGCAAAGAATTAAAGCAACACCTCATCTCTTTTGCATGAATTAACAGTAAATACAACAATTTAGAGGGAAAAAAATTTACAAAAAAAAAATCACACAAAACTCAGGGGGAAGAAAGAATTGATGTGTTAACTAACTACCAAGAGATTGAAGAATTAGCCTGCAGTAGAATTTATTTATATATTTATAATACACATTTCATTGAATGAATGAATGAGCTGAGAAGCCGCTACCTTCCGCTGTACCCACTGCTTTCTTTCTTCATTGTCATTTCTTGGCCTTCGCTGCTGGAACCGGATGGATTCAATCCATATTCACTGGTAGGGTTACTGTACTGGCCAGTGCTGTATTCTTGGCTTCCCAGTGCCATCTTCCTCATCTTCTTCATGTCTTCATTGTATTGCATTGTATCATAATCTGAACTTCCTCCGTACGAACTGTACGCCGTGCTCTGCCCTGGCCTGATTCCCTCATTGAGATCAGATAATGACATTTGCCCTTCTAAGGCCCTCACAACCTATCCCATTCCAAAGTATACTCCAAATTAATGACATGGTACGCATATTTACCATCGGCATAAGCCAAAACGGCTACCAATTGAAGCTCAAATAAGTTAGGAAATAATGAGAATTTTTGGGTACATAAGGGCCCTTGGCCCAAGAGGTAGGTTTATTATTACCTGGCTCATTCTAGGTCGACGTCTAGCTGAATGACGGACACAAGCAGCAGCACAAGCAATCATACGCGATATTTCGTTGTGGTTGTAATCATCCTCTAGTCGTGGATCTACAAGAGTATTAAAGTTTCCTTCTTCCAGAGCACGAGTCAGTAAAGGCCTTGCCTGTAAAAATGTACACACGATTAGACGAATAGAGAAATAGTGAGATGCACTAGATTTTTTTTTGGGGGGGGGGGATCAACTCACCCAGTCCACCAAGCTATCATCCATGAAGGCTTGATTAGAGTCGACAGGTCGGCGTCCAGTAATTAACTCTAGAAGCATTACTCCAAATGAGAACACATCAGATTTTTCACTAAGTTTCCCAGATGAAGCATATTCAGGAGCCAAGTACCTATGGGTTGTTAAAAAAGATTATGAACACAAATGGTGAAAAAAAGAGCATGGAAAATGGAATGTTACTTCTCAACCTCAAATTGATTGAAATATACATGATGGGGAGATGGTTCTTACCCAAACGTGCCCATAACCCGTGTTGAAACGTGAGTGTTAACATCAGAAGTGAGTTTTGCAAGTCCAAAATCAGCCACCTGAGAAAAGTTCATACATCAGTAATAGTAGCACAAAACCAGTTGATTGTTATTATCTCTGGTGTTACTAATTAGTCGTACTATGTCCAAAGAGAGCAGTACGATTGAACAGAATATCATCTATGTGAAACTACCTTAGGCTCAAACTTGAAGTCCAGAAGTATATTGGCAGCCTTGATATCACGGTGAATGATTTTTGGATTGCCTACAAAATATTCAATTTTAAAAACGCAATATGATTTCAACACAAGATGAAGATTCAAGTGCATCAACATTTAAAAAAAAGCGAGTATGCATCATAACCAGAACTTACAGTCCTCATGTAGATAAGCCAGTCCTTTGGCAGACCCTAAAGCAATCTTAAGTCGTGTGGGCCAATCCAATGGAGGCCTTCCCTTCCCTGTGGTATACAATAAGTTATCATAAGAAGCATCAGTCAACAAATAATGCTCACAAAATGCTAGAGCATCTGATGGGAGCAGAACTATCACAAAACATAAACATTTTTTAAGTACAACACCAATAAACTTAATTAAGAACGTGTCACAATGACAACAAGCAGCAGAAGCCATATGAACTTCAAAGCAAATGAATGACATCTAGGCATTGCTATAATTTTCACAAAACAAGAAATTGAAATAATTCTCTCGGAGTTTTAAAAAAAAATATTATGACATCAAAATTTTGCCTCTTTTTATCTTTTATTATGCCTTCTAAAAATAAACATAGACAAAAGACTTACTATGGTCTGACGATTCTAATAAAGAGGACTATTGATTCCCTTTAAAAGATGTCTTATATAATAAGGATCAGAGAGAGTACATGCGCACAAGCTTACCATGCAAGTGATATTCAAGGGTGTTGTTTGGCACAAACTCATAGACAAGCACTCGCTGAGAGCCAGCGATGCAGTATCCAACTAAAGAAACAAGGTGTTTGTGGTGCACTCTGCTAATAATCTCCACCTCAGCTTGAAATTCCCTCTCACCCTGCCCACTGCCAGATTTTAGCCTCTTAACAGCGACCTCTATCCCATTAGGAAGGATCCCTCTATGCACGTAGCCAAAACCTCCTTGTCCGATAAGGTTGGCATCCGAGAAGCCATCAGTTGCCCTTTCCAGTTCTTCATAAGTGAATGTGCTCTTTGAGAACCCCAAAGCCATTCCAGGTGAAGGTGGTGGGAGTGGATTTGAAGATCCCGAATAATTGGACGAAGCTCCACTGCTGCTTATGTGAGGTGGGGCCGGGGGAGGAGGAGAAAACGGTGGTCTAGACGCCCCAGGAGGAGGGTGAAATGGCTTTGCTGGGCCACCATAAGAATCAGCTGCAAAACCAATATTTCTCTTGAGTTCCAAATAATAATGTCAAAAGAGAACACTCCACACCTTGCAAACCACTTGTAATACTTTTCATTCCTTCATTCATTGAATCTGTGGAATATGGCTACCCATTTCCTGAACTAGTTTTGCTCTTTAAAGAACAGAAAAACACATTTTCACCAAGAAACATTCTCCAATGATCAAAAGGGGCCTTAGACTCAGTCACTCAAAATTGGGTAAAAATGGTGAAGTCCAGTTACATGCTCCATATTGCAGGTTTCATTTGCAAGGGTTAATTTAGCAAGATCTAAACTAGATCTTGATCATTCAAAACAAATTATACTTTGCATCTCTCAATAAATCATGCTAGACTCCACTCTGTTAAAGTTGATGAAAATGGAATGAGAAGACAGCACATTTCTGTAAAGCAATACTTCAATAATTTGTCTCACCTTTAGGCCCTGGAAGAGCAGGAGGAGGCTGTTGTGTATAGTAATCTACTGGCACGTGATCTCTTCTCCTCTTCTTTCTGCAACATATGAATATCAAGCACAAAGCTGCCAGTATCAAAACTCCCCCAATTGCGATTCCGGCCACCAAACCTGTTGATACCCCCGACGATCCGCCATCAGGAGGCGGCGAGGGGGTCGCCGGACTACCTCCTGCTCCTCCTCTTCTAGGAGGAGGTGGAGAGGGAGTGGAGCGGGGCGGAGGACGAGGCGGAGAAGGAGGCGTGCGCGATGGAGGAGATGGGGTTCTGCTGGGAGGTGCAGAGGGAATCGACGGGGGAGAAGAACCGGAAGGAGCAGGGGCGGAAGGCGTCGCCGGCGCAGGAGGAGAAGTTGAAGGAGCGGGAGTTGAAGGCGGTGGCGGAGAAGAACGCGGCGGAGGAGGCTGCGCCGGCGGCGGAGAAGTAGCGTTGGCGGGTGGAGCAGGGGGCGAGGTCGGAGCCGGCGCTGCTCCGGGCGCCCGTGAAGACATTATCAGATTCCTTACACAGAAAGGGAACAAAATCAAAGCAAAATCTGAAGGGAAGCTATTCTCCGATCTCTCTCTCTCTCTCTCTCTCTGGAGTTTAGAGAGAGAAAATGGACGTTTAAGGAAAGAGAGTGGCGTCCAGCCAGCCTATTGCACGCTTTTAGTCGTCGGAGACGTTGGGGAGCTTTTTAACGAGTACGGAGCAGTAGTATTTTACTCCGTATTTTTTTGGCAGTAGAATTTTATACTCGTATTCCGTATACGTTGACCAAAAAATGAAGGCTGACTTTGTTTAAGCAGGAATTTGTCTATCTCGAACGGTCAGTCCATACACCATCCCACAATAGACGGGATAACTAGAGTCACCACTTACTCCGTACAATTTGCATAAAAAAATAAGGAAAATTCTATTGTACCCCATATTTGTAAATCAAGGCTTTGCCTTGACATTAAATATATGTGTAGAAATGGTATTATGTCAGTGATTTACTTACATTTTATGTCACGATAAAGTTTTGGGGTACAAAGTGTGGTGAGGGTAGCATGCTCCAAAAAATAATGAAAATATGTATTAAAATGTATTCTGTATTTATTAAAATTATTAAGATATATTCTTTTAAATTTTTACTTTTTAGATATTTAAAACAATATTTTGAAATAATAGAAAATATAAGTATATACATAGTACAATTTTGAAAACAATGAATAACAATATGATATCATTAAAAAATTGTTTGTAAGTTTACCCCTTAAAAAGGAATAAGCCAAAAAATTTACTCCGTATTATATTATTTATTTCACATTATATTATATTTTATACTAAAATACACCCTAATCTAATTAGAGTATGGAGGAATAATGGGAGGATGCTTTATTTATTTTAATGAAAAATGGAATCGAATTAAGCATAAAAGAATTCCCTTTGTCCGGGGAAAAATTGTTCCACTTTAACTCCTACAAAAAAATTTTTTAAAAAATTACTGCAGTGTGACCAGTGTACTGCTAAAGAAGGGATATTTTTATCTAATCACATACTCCGTACTATTCTTTTCTTTAAAAGGAATAATCCTTTTTTGGGTATGAAAAAGAAGCCAAAAAATTATTACATGATGGAGGTAGTATACTGAGTATCTGGTTAGGCTGTGCAGCGTGGCCACTCTCTCCCGGCCAGCCGCATCGACGACCGACGACCACCTCAAACACACGCCACCCTCAACGCCGAACCGACGGTGTGACTGCGGAAGACCTCTACATGGGGGTAAGGAACAAAGAGAAAGAATGAAATGAGAGGGTTTTTTCAAAGTTGTGACTTCGGAAGACCTCTATCATGGCACTGAAAGGACCCAATCACACACGAATAAACTTATGGTACAGGGTTTTTTCTAATGCACTTGCAATACATTCTAGCCTGCCTATACTCATCAATTAATCTTTTTTTTCGCCAACTAAAAATATTAATTAATTAATCATACTCGGTGTCGTCGTGGTCGTCATCAGCATCATCGTCACAGTCTAAGTCTGAATCATCGGTTCGGGGTTGCATGAGGGTGTTCATGTCAAAAGACAAATTTGGTTCCATCTCTTCTATTTCAATGGAGTCATTTTGCATCCGATCCTCGAATCTCTCATCCGAGCAGTTAAGCATCCGTGCAAGGGAACATTTCACCCCTTTTGCAGCAATCTTCTCATGTCTTGGTTTTATGGTTGATTCGAGCCCGTAAGTGAAGAATGCAGGGAAAGCAACCAACTCATCCAATGGTCTCCCGCGCATCTCACCAGTGAAGTAATCAAAACTATGTTTCATGGTATCGATATTCAATGCGAGTATCTGGGGACACCCCACGACCATATTCCTTAGCTGTTCCAAAGAGAACCCACGTGCCTTGAGGAAATCAACGTGCCTCGTTATAGGTGAGTTGTTGAGACTCACAAACTGTGGCATCCTCTCCACAACTCTCCCAAAATCCTCAGGGCATAGACCTAAGAGTGAACTGAGAAAACTTTGTTGGGCTTTCAGCTTTTCGTCGAGATTAAGCCCTAAAATTGCAGGGTATTGAGCAATGACGGATGGGAGTGAAGATTTTCTGAGATTGAACCGTATAAGAGAGTCCACATTAGGTTTGACTCTCTCTTCAAGCCCAAAACCAAGAATGTGTGGATCTTTCTCAATCAACCTAGCCACGGCTAACCTTGGGATTCCTATCACACTCTCAAGATATTCCACAAAAGGCTTGATCACCCGGCCCACTCTCATCCCTAATATTTCGGGATTCCCCACCAACACTCTCGCGATTTCTCTTCTTGCCACCCCAATGCCGACAAGATATGCAACAGAAGTACTCATTGTGCCCTCAAGCTTGAATCCCAGTACTTCTGGATATTTCTCAAGAACTAGGGGAATATCATTTGGTTTGATGTCCAAACCTTGAAGATACTTGACAACTGGAAGAAGGTCAACCACAACACTAGCTTGGAGAACTTGTGGGTATCGGCGAAGGAATCCGGTGAGTGTGGATTTTCTGACACCCAACTTGCCAAGGTAATCAAGAACGGGAATCATGTTTTTCTTCACACTGCATCCAAGGACAAGAGGGTAATTGTTGATGTCTTTAACCGTGAGACCCAGTTTGTGAAGGAAATCCAAACGCTCTCTCATGACATCAATGGAAAGAGGAAGCTCTAATCCATCAAGCTCGTCGGGAACAATGCCAATCCCTCTCAAGAAGTCATAAATAAGTGCGCGATTTGCTGCCCTCTCGTTCTTCATTTGCAACAGACTAGGATGAATGTACACTGATGATGCATCAATTTTTTGTTTTTGACGACTCCCATTACAAGTTTCAGACTTTGGTAATTTAAAATTCTCCAATCTAGAAGACAGTGTCCTACCCGCAACGGAACAACATAGCCTCATGATATAGTTTTTCTTGTCACAACGAGGTAAAATACATAAATTCTGAGCTGAATTAAGTTGGGCTCTACGAAACACAAGAACGGATACCTCACATCGTACAAGAAAAAAGTTAGGTTTTGTAATGGCGTTGTAGCTTATGACATTCATGTTTCCCAAGTCTGTATTGGACAAATCCTGCACAGCAGAAAGGGGATATTGGGATGAAAGGTATATTTCAAAATAAGAGTTGTGAACTAATTTAGATTCATAGACAACAAATCACGAAAAGAGACAAGTTAAATTCATTTATTCTATCGAAGCAATGGAAAAAGCATCCATATACTATTTTAAAAAATCAGATTATTTGAATCAGGAATGCTGCGTAACTGAAAAATCATAATTGTACATTGCAAATGAAATCGGCAAATTAAGTTCAAACCCTACTGGCTAGTGAGTGGCCAGTGTCATAGAAATCAACAATATATAATTAGGTCATCAGCGGAATGGAGATCTAGAGACATACATGGGAGTGCCGCAGGGGCAGTGCACCGAGGAGCGCCGGCCGTCAGCCGTAGACGACGGGAAAGCTGAGAGCCGGCCAAATCCAGGAGGGGTTTTAGACAGATATTTCCACGTTAATCAAGTGGTGTAGACTGTAGACATTGAACTTCCACTTCTCTTCAATTCAACTTCGAACTAGTGTGTTTGGAAAGAAAAATACACCATCCATTTGTCCCCACCCCCTCCATTACCACATAAATGAGCATGATTTTTTTAAAAAAATCAAATAAATAAAAAATAAATGAAAATGGGTGATAGAGAAGGCGGTGAGAGACAAATGGGATACACCTTTGGTGTACCCCTAACATTGCTCGTTTGGGAATCATTTGTATTTAAAATCCAGATATGATTCAAATTAGAATTAAAAAAATTAGATTTTTATTTAGATCAAATTCTTGTAAATCAAATTTAATCCAACTACAAATTCATACTTCTCCTTACGTCACTTACAAGTTACAATTCAATACCAACCTTTCTTTAATTTATAATAACTTTTCAGAGGTAATTAAAGAGTGATTTTCTCTATACAACAATATATATCAACCCGCTTATGTTACCGTCTTTGTCGACTCTAAAATTCAAGTTGCTCTGAATGAGTTTCAAAGAGTGTAGCATATATAATGAAACTCATTCGACTGAAAAGAGATGGCTTCGTACCGTATCTTGCAGGTGACGGATTCAAGTGAGTCGTTCGGTGGTGTGGTACGTAGTGGGTTTAGTACGCCCCGCCAAAACGGCTCGGGAACAAAAAAAAAATCTAAAATTAAAATCTAATATTGAAATTGAAATCCAAGATTTCAAATGAATTCTAATTTTCAAACACTACCCTAGTCTATTTGGTTGGAAAGATGTGGAGTGAAAAATTAATTTCATGGGGTGAAACTTTTTTCAATTAAATTTCAATTTCCCTCTTACTTCCCTTCTATTTATATTCCTATTTCTCTCCAACCAACGGAATACACCCTTTGGAAATCCTACAAATCGAGTTGTGGGACTTGCGGCTGGGTGCGCGTAGCACTCAACCCAATGTATACCGTACAACTGGTGGTACAATGTTTTCCGTACATTCGAGGTGAGTACTCGTTTTCGAGTATCTCAATATTCATTTTCGAGTAATTGATTGCTCATTTTCGAGTAATAAAAAATTTGTTTTCTGAAATTCAGTTATGCTTGAAAATGAGCATTTAGTTACTCGAAAATGAGTATTCTAAACCTCCTTAATTGAGGTTACGTTATTTCCACAATATATTAGTATAAGCTTTCACATTCTAATGTCATTTTGACGACCATTAGCTGAAGGACTAAACTGAGTATCATCTCTGTAAATAGTTTTTTTAAAGAAAATTTTGAGAAAATACATAAATATTGAATAGCATTTTAGAATTTATTCTATTTTTTTGTGGAGTTGACAGGTGAATACTTATTGCTAATAAGACCATCTGGTGCGCACCCACAGGAAGGGAAGGGGAAGGACGACATGGCTGTGGAAGGGAAGGGGAACACCGCCTCCCCCATGCGGGAAAGGGAATGGCAGGTTCCCTTCCTTATTTTTCCCATCAGCATTCAACGATCATTTTTCTATTTTTTTGTTGGAAGTGTCGTTTTAAGTAGAAAAAATTAAAAAAATTTACTAATTAAACATAACACTTCACTCATCTTTTTTACAGACTTTTTATCCATTTCTTTGAATTTGATTACTATTTTTGTTGAATATTTTTCACATCTAGAGTACTATGGATCTACTCCGACTTATCGATGAGGTTGTGCCTACGCAAGCTCCAAAAATATCGAAAGCAAAGAGAAACGTGAAGGGGGACCAAGCACGACTCGGAGTGCTCCAAAATCTTGGACCATGACCGAGGAGGGAGCTTTAGCCAAAGTTTGGGTTAACATTTCCACCGACCCGATAAGAGGTGCCTTTAACTTGAATTAATTTTTTTAGCTAAATTTTTTTCAGTATATAACATTTTTCTTAATTTTTTATCACTCGTGTATAGGAAATGCTCAGACAAGCGACGGGTTTTGGACTAAAGTCATCGACAAATTCCCTGAGTTGATGAACTCAAAGTCGTATCGCCTTGTTCACTTCGTAGCTTCCAAGTATCGCGATATGAATAATAAAATTACAAAATTAGTGGTATCTACAACACCATTTACATGAATCGTGCGAGCAGTTCGAGTGATCAAGACGTGTTGTAGCAAGCGCTTGATCATTTTCCACGGATTTACTAATAAATGGGGGCAGGTTCTAAAACGTCTGAATCCGGCAACTTTAGTCCCATCATTTCCAATGCTCACTGAATGCCGAGTATCAGTAACGATAATGACGACATACCAACACCACTGGAGCCGTAACAATCCATCAGGGGGGAACAAGCGAAAAAAGAAGGATCATCATGCATGGCAGCCGAACCCTTAGTTAAAGGGTTCGAGCATCTCAACACTTGTTGTCCGCCTTTCATGAAATGCAGGCGGAGAGCCTTCGGGCTAAAGAACAAGCGAGAACGAAGAGGCTTGAGCAAAGACACAAAGAAAAAAAAATGCGGCTTGCCATAGAACGTTAAAGCCTAGAGTAAGATCGAAGATTAAAAGACTTCAAAAATATTACCACCAACGTGGATAACTTTGGTCCGACGGAGCGTGCAGTGGTGATGATGATGTCATATATGATATCCCAGAGGTGGCTAAGAGGTGCGGCGCGTGACGACTCAAGCGGAGATGTTTAGATTTTTTAGTATTATGTTTTTTATTTTGTATTGTTATTTTTCCAAAGTATTGTTTTACATATTTTTATTGTATTTCCTAGATACACTATTTATTGTATTTCTTATTTTAATTTTAATGAAATTTTCAATTATTTAAAGTTTAATAAAAAAGAATTTTAAGTAAATTTTATTATTTTTATATTTTTAGTTTAATTATTTTAATTAAAGTAAGTGTTAAATATAATTCTCCCTCCGTTTAATAATTTCTTCCTCACTTTCCTATTTTGGCAAAAAAATTTGTTCAAAAATTTCTTTTGTTTCATACTTTGGCAATTTTTTTTAATGAATGTGCCATTGTATTCTTAATTTTTTTTATTTTTCTAAATATTAAGAAATTTTGGGACTAGGAAGTATGAAAAATTGAAGGGTAGGAAAGCAAAGCTAAACTGGGGCTGAGGTGGGAAGGAGAAAAGAGGAAAAGGGGAGGGCGCACGGGAGAAGATCTCTATAATTTCAGTTTCAGAGAGGGGAATCAACAATTCATCACATTGAATGCAAGTATGAGATCGGTGCAATCTTCGTGCAGAGATCGAACGCACGAATTTAACAATGTGGCCGAGAAATTGAAGAAATTTATCCCGTCGCCGGCATCCAGCAGCGGCGCCGTCGATGGTGGGGGAGATGCCAAGGCCGAGGCAAGTCGGCCGGCTATTTCTTTTCAGTCGGAGTTCAATAAAAAAGCTTCGAAGATTGGGCAAGGGATTCATCAAACCTCTCTGAAACTCTCTAAGCTTGCTAAATGTGAGTTTCTTAATTGAAAATAATTTTTTTATTGATCTTCCCGTCCAATAATGAATTGATTAATTTCACTCTGTATTTTTTTTATATCGATAATGTAATTCATAATTAGGTCCTGGTTGTAGACGTCTAATTTTTGGAATTAAAGATCATCTTCAGCTTATATCTACTGAAATAGTGAACCCATTTTAATCTTAGATCATCAAAGATTGGCTACTTTTATCCGAAAATAAATGGTTTTACTGATTAGCTTCTAGTGTTTTTTATATCCAAACAGGAGGATCCTCCTCAGTAATTGACTTATTGTATTAAGGTATCCTGGTTACATTAAACCCCTGTTTTGATAAGTTCTGATATTCTTAATTATTGAGATTTTCCCCTCTTTTCCAATGAAATTTGCTATAAATAAGTTCAAGGACTATGATACAGTAGTTTGGTTTTTGTCTATATTATGAGACATTTTTCATTAGAGCTTTATATTCAGAATTGGCGATGAGTTATCTTAATGTATGCACATACGTGGTAACGTGGATATGTGGGCCTTTCTGAATATTGTTTGGAGTAAAATTATACGGAGTACTATACTTGTATAATATATTGGTCTTGCTCATCGTGTTTTCTGTTTTTTAGTACAATTCAATGTACTTTGGCCTTTTATCGAACTGCCTACGGAAAATTAAATTAGTGAGGATCACCATATTTTTGTTCATTTTATATTAAGTTCTGTAATAACTCTCCTCTATAGGACTGTCTAAGGTTGCTCACTATATGTGACCACTGACCATATGTTACACTTCTATTTAACTCACTAGAAACGGTCGGGCAAGTGCATAGTAGGTAAAATAAGTAATTTTGAGCCACTGTATTGTTACTGTTGATTTTTTGGTCAATGTTGGTTAGGTTTAGCTCAACTACTAAATAATGATGCAAATCCTTCCTTCCATTCTTTGGATAAAAAAAGGAGTCGTTGCAAATTCAGAATTTCATTTACCCAGTGTGAATGTGTGATATGTGCTGAGGGATATTAACCTGGCCAAAACAAACCTTCTCTAAGAATTTCTTCTTTTTTGACTAATTATTTTAATTAAAATGACTTTTCTTTTAAGCTAAATAAATTTTACATACTAGTTTAGGCTCTTCATCCTATTAGGTGGACTATATTTTGTCACAAGTTCCCAACTCTCCATTGCTTGCGTAGTTGCGTACTGCTATACCATTTTTTAAGGTGTATTTCTCTATTACATGACAACACAATGCAATCTGAGTATCTGACACAGTAATGAGTCATCAGTGAAGCGCCCAATTTGGAAATCCTTACAAACACAAATTTCAATCAAACAATAGAAATACAAGCCTCTTTATGCTAATAGCAGATTACTCCATACATAATAAGCGTGGAAAGAAATTCTCCGCATAAAGGAGGTAATCAACCTCAGACCTCTAGATCTTAGGGTCTCAACAATAACCAGTTGGCTAGGCCTCATTGGCAGGTGAATAACTGGCATTTTATTGAATGGATAATACTAATATTCTGCATTTACCTTAGTAAC